TAAGTAATCCAAGAGTTTAGCATTCAAAACACTTTCTGATAATATGCATTTAGTACATCATTAAATCATCACATTCTTCATCAAATGAAGATGTTACATTCACAGAAGCATTTAGACAAAGTAAAGTAGTTAGTTAATTTTAAATTTAAGAATTTTTGGACTTTGAAATTGGCAAGTATTGCATAAATCATTTAAAGTATTATTACAATCTTCATATTCTTTATATAGTTATATCTAAGTCTACATTTAGGTTAGCAATCCCTTTATATTAATAATTAACTAGAATCATAAAAACTACATATAATAGTATGCCATATATTTATAATTTTTATTTAATTGATCATAGCATTAACAGAAGGAGAATCTAAAATTAACAATCCTATATTAACTATAACAATTATTATTGACTTCATAATATCCTTTTTTCGTATTCAGATTTCAATTCTCTCAGTAGAATCACAAGCCAATCTTCCTATTATTGAAATTTTATAATGAACCAAAAATGTACAGGATATCTATTAGAATCTTTGTGTGTGTTTTTTTTATAAGGGAATAATAGAATATATTTATACAAAATTTGCATGTAAAACCTGTTTTTTCAATATTTATAACATTCTAACATTCTAGACATATAAATGGTCGTGAACAAATTTTACAAAATAGATAGTATTTCAAAAAATTAGGATTAGTGTGTAATTTTATGGAAAAATTACTCATTTATTTGCCAATTAATATTTATTATAAAGTATTTCATCTTCCAAATTATAAAAATAATCTCCAACTTATTTCTAATTGTAAGAAAAACCATAAGTATTAAATTTATATCAAAATTTACTATTATCTATTTGACTATATCATACTCTCCAACATTATATTTAGTTTTACATTGTTTACTATGATATCCTCTCCTAAATAATTACATTGCATTATAGTTCACATATGTCATTAGGGATATTAATGCCCATCCTACTGTTGAAGCCTTACGATAACTAATAACATTATGTTGATGTTCCAATAGCTGAAAAGTAGAATAATATTAGGGAATATCAAAAAAATATAAAGATCATAATAATAAATGTAAGAGTATTCATTTTAAGAACTAATTTTAATACCATATGTTTAGATACCATCTATATAGCTATAAATAAAACTAATCATCAATCTTCTCCATCTCCCGATATTATATTATTCCAATCCCATATCTATAGATATTTTAGATGTACTTATTTTATTTATAAGTCTGGATATTCCAGTATTATATTTAATAATGCCATATACATAACGATTTGTATTAATATATTTTGGTGATGAGTGGATCATATTTTAAAATTAACAAATTTGGAATTATAATATAGAATCATTATTCTATACAATCTAAAATAAACTAGGAATGTTTCTTTCAAATTCCTAACAAAATTCATTTTAATATTGAAAAATCAAAAATTTACAATAAATTATATATCCTCTAAATTTTTCATAATTATAGTTACTTGAACAATGAGAAAATTTATTATTATTGGCTGCTCCTGAAAAAAAACATATGATAAGGAGTTGCTCTGGACTTGGACATGAGGTATAGCTTTTATTTGATTTTTATGATGTTGTCATCATTCTGATTGAAACAGATCTAGTATTTTATTAGGCTTTTTTGATTTTATAAACTTTAATTATTAGTTTGACAGAGTGTAAGTTATTATCCTTACATTTGTGTTATAGGAATGACAAAACCCTTCTACAATTTGATATAAACAGGAAAGGTAGATTCAAATTTCAAAACTACTTAATCATTTGCTTGTTTAAAGCTATTTCAAAAATAATCTTATTAAGTAAGATAAAATCAAATTTATAGATGCTATTGAGATAAATAAGAAGTATAGCCTTTTTAGATTTGCATATGTTAGTATTTATGAGGACATTTAATAATTTTTAATAGAAGATCATTAGTTCACTAAATAATAAGGATATTTATCTATTTATATCCAAATCTTACCCTAAAATTTATATATGGTTTAATTCTCCTAATCTTCATATAAATAACAAAATCTTTTGATGCTACTGAGACATGGTTTAACAAAATTACATCTAGCATTTCCATAATTAAGTTTCCATCATCTCATTTTCAACTTCAGTAATTATTAAGATCCCTAATTTAAAATGAAATAAATTATTAAATTAACATATCCAAGTATACAAAATAAACAACCCTTTTCAGCTATTTAACTAAATGTACAACATTATAGTATGATTCAAAGGCTTTAGCATTTTGCTGAACGATTTTGGCTTCTCTATAAGATAAATATGTTTCATATTTTATAATTAGGTAAGTTATGTCCATCAGTACAACTGGAAAATTAAATATTACACATATGGCTATTATTAGTATTGCTCTCATCAATATAAAATGAATAATATTCATAAAGATCATAAAAAATTAATCTATCTACACAAATATATTTGCAATAATTAAAGTTTTTAAATTGTTGTTTACAATTTTTAAATTTTCAATATAAATGCTATGCTTTGCAGAATTGCATAAATTTATCCATAAATGCAATATACTATTTAAACTTTAATCAAAATTAATTAATGATTATTCAAATAATATTACATATCCCTATTATTCTTTAAATATCCTGATATCAATTATTTCATCAATATCAGTAAGTAATCCAAGAGTTTAGCATTCAAAACACTTTCTGATAATATGCATTTAGTACATCATTAAATCATCACATTCTTCATCAAATGAAGATGTTACATTCACAGAAGCATTTAGACAAAGTAAAGTAGTTAGTTAATTTTAAATTTAAGAATTTTTGGACTTTGAAATTGGCAAGTATTGCATAAATCATTTAAAGTATTATTACAATCTTCATATTCTTTATATAGTTATATCTAAGTCTACATTTAGGTTAGCAATCCCTTTATATTAATAATTAACTAGAATCATAAAAACTACATATAATAGTATGCCATATATTTATAATTTTTATTTAATTGATCATAGCATTAACAGAAGGAGAATCTAAAATTAACAATCCTATATTAACTATAACAATTATTATTGACTTCATAATATCCTTTTTTCGTATTCAGATTTCAATTCTCTCAGTAGAATCACAAGCCAATCTTCCTATTATTGAAATTTTATAATGAA